GCACCCTGACTGAGTCGTCTCCTCCCAGAGACCACTCTGCAAGGGAATCTCCAGGGGCCTACAAATGGGCTTTGGGTCTCCACTCCACACTCCCCCCATCATTCACTATGGTAAAGGAAAACTTTAAAAAATAAATTTCACTTATCTTGCTTTTACAGCTCAATAAAACATCTGACACATTTTTTGAGGATCAGTAACCGTATTGTCTGAAAACTTTTAACACCCACAGAAAAAGGCTTTCTTATATTATTACATTATAGAATGCCTTCTAATATTACTTGGTTATGAAATACATTTCATTAGAAATCCTTGATATATGTTTGACAATTATATTGGTCTTTGTATACAAGTAGGCTGGTGGAAAATTTTGACGCATCAGGGGAACACCAGCTCAGCAATGTTACAAGGGCTACTTGGCAGCCTTTTTGAGAAGGTTTGAGAAAGGGCAGTTCTAATTGATGAACCAACAGCATCTCCTCTTGCAGTTACTCCTGGGGACTCGGCCCCTATCCCCCAAGCAAGGTTTCCCCACTAGGTAAATACAACAGGGGGATTCTAGTCTTAACAGCAAAGTGCTTCACTTGCTCGTTAACTAGCAAACTATATACCGGAGGTGGATGTGTGATGGTGCTGAAGTTCATCTTGAAAACTTTCTGAATCGTACAGGTGATCACGTAGAACAGATGCCACATTAACATTGCTGCATTTGTTACCAAGTACATTATTTTCTTTCTCTCCATGTCAATAACTAAAGCTTCACCACAGTCCATTTAAATGAAAAGTGAAAAAGTTAACATCTGGGTACAATGAAGATAACTTTATTCCCTCTTTCAACAAAAGAATAAATTACAGCAATGAATTTAAATGTGGAAAAAATAAACCAATAAATGATTACTGCCTTCTCTAATTAAAGTAGACACGGTTCCTTAAGCCACACAAAAGGTTTTCTAAAACAAGTTTGGAAAACTATTACCAAGCTGGATTTTTCCATTTTCTATACAAAGTATAGACATATCCAAGAGTCATTACCAAAATAATTAATCATGGTATTAGACCGTGAGCAAAGTAATACTTATTTGGGATTTAAAGAAAACTGTAAAACTTTATTAAAGCTTCATCAAATAGAAATGGTAAGAATATATATATAATTAAGAATATATTTTTTTTACCAAAATACATATTAAAGACAAGTACTACTCAGAGAACCAATTTAAAAAGTACGCCCAAACAATTCCAAAGTTAATATAGGATTTTGTATGAACTTTCAAGTCATAGCACAACTGGCTTGTTTCTAAATATATTGATCACAACTAATATAATAATAATATGCATATAAGAGATGATCAATAATAATCTATAACACCTATTAATCTCTAAATATGGACCAGACAATACATAAAGATTTTTACATGTAATAACTCATGTAATTATGCCTAATATAGTACATGATGTAATCGTTCTCATATTACAATGAAAAAAGAGGTAAAAGTTAACGGGCCAATCTTATAAAGTTAATAAATGATAGGTCCAGGATTTCAACAAAGCGTGAAGTCCAAGATGATACATTCATCTAGCATACAGCTGTACAGCTCCCAGAAAGAAAACAAGGATACAAACTAGCACCAACTATGACAGTGAAAGCCCAAATCCATTTGCAGGGCCAGCCTGTGGAGTAAGCATGGGGAGAATCCCCTCTGATCAATCCACAGGGAGATGAAAAGCCTTGCTTTAAAAAAAAAAAACACAAAAAAACTACATTAGAAAGTGCAGATGTACACGAGGTGCCAAAGGGATCAGTTACCAAGCATCAAAGAACGAAAAACCGTATTGTTGTGTAG